GGCTCCCCTGGCCGCGGGGGAAGGGAAGGAGGGAAGGGACCGCGGCGCCCCGGGATCCAGGAGGGTTTCCTCGATCTCTCCCCTCTTTCCTGGAAGAGCCGGGCTGCTGCCAGGGTGAGGTTTGAAATCCCAGGTGATGGCACACATACCTGCATGAAGTGCACCAAAACACCTGCCCGAACCGTGCGTTGACCTAGTAAGAAACAGTGACCCTTTCCATAAGTTGTCACGGCAGCAAGCACCAAGGCAAGTTTTTTCCTTCAACTATGCCAAACTGTATCAGCTGAACTAGAAATTAAACCAGCCCCAAATACTTTTTAATCTGAAGACGATAACCTGCACACCAGTATCCCCACCACGACAAATCTCAGCAAGAAGCCGTACGTTTGTTGCTTGCTTTACCTCCATTTTAGGTCCCGAATGGAAACATCAAGCCAGATGACGTTACAGGTATTCTTGATTAAAACCTCCTCTTGCCTTGCAAACTGGCATCGCAGTGCAAAAGCACCTGACTCTTCCCAGACTTCCCCTGGACATGAGCCACCTGCACTGCTCCCGTGTGACCCCCGATGAACTGAGGCACAAAAGCACTAAAAGAAGGATGAGTACGAGACCTTTGAAGCCCCAAAATATTTTTGGCCTTTATCTCAAAAAAACCCTGCCACAACAAAACCTGGTTAGTGAAAAATTAGGGTTTTGATAGCTGCGTGTGTGTGCAAAATCCGGATCCCAGCTAAAACCAAAGAGAAATTTGCCAACAACTTCGATGAGGCAAAACATACTTTTTATCTAAAAAGTCTTGAGATGCACGTGGCAAAAATAAACTAGATCTTACAAACAGAAGGATTTAGGTTTTTCTCAATTGCTCTCTCACTCAGGCGTGAAGTGCTGGATGGAGGAAGAGGAACCGGTACTGTACTTTGAGAGCACACCACAGGGAGGTGAAAAGGGCAGGATCCAGAAGAGAAACAGGTACTGCTCCACCTGCAGTTGAGCAGGAGGAGTCTTCAGGAGACACTATTGAGTTCAAGTGCCAGATGAATGTTTTCATGGTACTGCTTAATCTGGAGTCTCCAAGTGGCTTTATTTTCCTCCTGACATGGGGGGGTAGGGGGGGAACTGAACTGCATTTTATAAAGACAGCCTGCTTTTTCCCTATTTACATTTTCCTGTCTGAAGAGGTGAAAACCTCCTCAGACTCTGGTAGGTTTTGAAGCACAATTCAGTGTGATTGCTGTTTTTGGAGACTGTCAGGCACAGGATGCATGATGAATGGTCTTCACAAAGAGCAGTGCCGTTTGCTCTCTGTTGCAGCCCTAGGAGGGCTCAAAATTGAACAGGCTTGGCTAGAAATCACTAACTGGGCCTGGATTTTCATAGTTCTTCAGTGTCAGAAGCTGTAATTTATGATGTACAAGATGTGTATAGCCATATTTATTTCTTATGTAAATACCTCAGTTTGGGACTTAAGTCTCTAATCTGGCTAGTGTCAGTCAGTCCTAGAAGCTGAATCTGCATCGCTGCTTCTTCTCTCCTCAGCAGTTTTCTTTCTACATATACTAATGTTGGGATTTTAGGTGCAGATTTGTTCCCAGCTTTGAAACGGCTCAGTGCCAATAAATAGGATTTGACAGGATCCTGGTATATCCTGCTTTTACCTTTTTCCAAAAGAGAGAAAGTGTTTCTCATTTCCTCTCTCCCCCTCGAAAAAACCCCATGACCCTTTTGGGTCTCTTCCTCCTGAGAAAAGATCACAGAGTTCAAGAATGACACGCGCAAGCAACCTGTGCCCAGAAAGAACTATTGGCTGTAATTACATTCCCAATCCTCCCTTTGCTTTTCACAAATACAGCACTTATCCTGACAGATTTGAAACTACAAAATCCTAGAAGCAATAATAAACACAAGAGAAGCTTTCACCCCTGTTGGACACAGCATTTTTTTTTTCCAGAGTAAAATCACAGCTGTCACATGCATGTATGTCTTCTCTGCACACAGATAAACGCAAACTGTGAGTATAATCCAAATACAATCCAACCTGCCTCAGTAAAAGGTTTCAGCAATGCTACTTTACCAGATCAACTTCTAGTACAAACCCTACATGTGAATAAAACCAAGATCCTGGGCAAAGGAAAGGAAATTCTTTGGGCTCTTCCCCTCTCATCCCAGGCAACAAACATGGTATCCTTCTCAAGTCCCTGGTCCTCCTGCAAATGAATACTTCACATTGTATCTACCCCGTAAGATCAGGCAACATATGTATACATACATATACTTATATGTAGACATATATAAAAACACAAATACACACTGAGTGTGTGTGTTTGTGTGTGTGTGCAAAAATAAGACTAACCTTCTGCTTCATGCGCAAACTTGGTGTTGGCCCATCATGAAACCAGGTGATAAAAGACAAGCCCTCCTCGAGTGAAACCATAGACACCTTTATTTCCTGAGTTCCTTAGTGAGTTCCCACCTCAGGCTGCTGTGTTTGTGAGCCTCAGGCTGAATGTTGAGGATCCCAAGTCACTTTGCATGAGGCCATGTTTGCATTCTTGAATGGAAGAGAATGGACAACCCAGCAGAAACTAAGTTCAGGGAAACAGCCATACTGGGTGGTCACCCCTGACACAAAGTCAGAGTCTTGTTTCTCATGTTCATTTTGTTTGGGCTAGAGAGGGATAAAAACCCAGTGAGAATTAATGGGGAGCTTCTACAGACTCAGCTCAAGAGACCTAATTGCTCCTTACTCCTCTATTCCAGAGCAAGATTGATACACAGCTTTTTCTTGGAAAAGTTAGGTAGACGTGGAGAAAGTTTCTCTACAGAAACCCTGCAGGCCCTTTGCAGCCTAGTGTATGAAATGGCTTTGGTTCTGTTTCTCAAAAAAAAGAGCAAATGGAAAGACAGATGTAAACAAAAGCTTAGGGGGGGAGCTGAGCAACTGGAAAATAGATTCTTCCTGCTTGCCACTCTTCCTGCCTCAGCTTTCACAGGGGTTCTCTGAACTCTCTGCTGTCAGACTGTCCTCAAGTATGGGAACTGCACTATGTTGGTAATACTGGTGACCTGATCTGCTTCTCCTGACTGATCTCTCTTTTTCATGTAGCCTGTTGCTGCACATCAGAATATTCAACTCAGTAGTACCCATGTTTTTCACTCCTCCTCCTCATCAAATCATGGTCTGAAAAGAGAAAAATAAATTTATATTTACTTAGGTATTCAAGAAAAATAATCCTTCTCTCTGGTAATAAATTCTTGGTAAGTTCGTCTCCCTGCAGATGTCAAATATTAACACAAAAGTACACACTCCCTGGAATGCTGCATTTGGAATTTTATAAGATACATGAACCAGGAACCACAAAAATTATGACTGTGACTGCATTCAAAATACCAACTAAGCCTCTAGAAAATACATAGCATATGCTTTGCAGAGAAGTGAGTATCATGCTACAAAATCTAACCTTTATCCCTTTGTGTTTAAACCCACGACCTCAAAAAAGTTATTAAAAAAATGTTGAGAGAAGCTCTTCTGTTTTAAGAAGTGGGATGGGAGAGATGCCAGAGGTGAGGTATGCATTTTCATGGTGACTGTGGACCTGACCATGAATCGCCTCCACATCCATGGACTAAGGACAAACTCACTGATGCAGTAGAGAGTCAGGCAATGCTGAGGGGCATGATAATGCTCTGAGTGGTTCCCTGGGTCCCTGACCCAGTTTGCTGTCCCCATTCCCATACCATACTCCTTTACTTGGCAGCTGTCACCATGTAACTCACCTGGTAAACTAACTTACCCCTGTCTGCTCCTCTCCCACAAACCACAACTAGCCCCATCTCTGGAAGGCACAGGCAAGCAGCAAAGGGGAGAAAGCAGGTGAAGTGATACGGTGAAAGACTATGGAATAAAGGTTATAGGCTCTGAAGACAAAGAAAGGTTTTCCAGAGAAAAACTGCAGGCAGCAGTCCACAGAAATGAGGACCATTGCCTTCTGCCCCAAGAAAGCATTTGCCAAAGGGAGGATTAGCTCTGAGAAGGAGCCAGATGCTCCTGGGAAGCTTGCATAGAAAAGGATCAGGTGAAAAGCATATTTGCAGTATGATCATGTTAAGGAAAGAGGACAATCCTCTTTCATTCAAGCTAGTTAGTCCTTATCCAAATTAGTTACTCCTCCTCTGTGTCCTGCAAGGAAGC